TCGAGTAGTTGCTCGGGGTTCAGTCATCGGACCCAAGCGTTCTTTGATCGGAACTTTGCCTCGATCCTCGTGAAAAGGACTCAGGCGATCCGCTATCCTCACCTTGAATCGGGACAAGTCCATGCTGCCGTGGGGCTCTATCGGAGGTATGTGATTTATCAGGACAGAAACAGGGGCTGTCAGAGGCTTAAACGGGACTACGGGAGATGAACCGAGTGCGAACCGAACCGAACCGAGTGCGAACCAAACCGAACCGGGCGCGAATGTGGTTCGCGCATTCCGGCAGTTCCGGGCGCTGTTTGACTTTTTATCGATGTCGTTTCAGACTTTGGTTTTTAGACTTGGCGTGGTTTCGGTGGCTTCTTGATCACCTCTTTTTGCTTCAACTTCTGCGCTTCTTGCACGAGAATCCATGCATGCGCAATCAAGACGTGGCGCTTCTGAATGCGCTCCTCGATGATTGAGCGAGTCTGTTTGACTTGGATCCATTCATCCGCTATCGATTTGGAGGAGAGAACATCTGTTTGCTACTGGGGAGTCGGTGCCTTATGAGTTTCAGATCCACCTCATAGCAGATTCTGTCAACATGCTCCAAGGCCTTGGCGAATTGACGCGCGATGCGTTGGCGCTTCCTTTGGAGAGCTCTTTTCGATAAAGTTAGCGCGGCTACAGCGGCTATCTCCTTGATTGAGGAGGAGTCCATATCTGTAGATCCGACCTCGTTGGAGGTCAGAGGGGCGTTGCAAGGCAAGATGGCAGCAGCAATGGAGGCCTTGATCTTTTTACACTTGCGAGGGGCGGAGGATCTGGAGGAGGAGGACGACAGATACTCTTCGAATTTCAGTTGATCGAACTCGTACTCGACCTCCTCGTCAACCGGGATCCGGATCCATGGTTGTGGCACGATAGCTTCGGTAGCGAAGCTATTAGCTCCCACTGTGATCGCCAACGTGTTTGGGTCAGAAATTGTTGTTTTTATTGTCATCGAATCTATTACAACTTTAGCCGTTACAATAAACTCAAATAAATAAAAAGTCGATCTTTTTATAAGATCTTCTTACACAATGAAAATATAAGATTATAATTCCTTCAAACAACACACAACCACAATGAAAATATAAGATTATAATTCCTTCAAACAACACACAACAGATGTTTATCGCCTGTTGTTTGCATGTGATCTTTGCCTGTGCTGGGAACATTGATATCCGTGGACCGTCGCAAATCAGATCCGGTTGACAGATTTAAAATCAAAGCTTCTACTTCACGAAGGAAGTATTCGCTGAAGTGGTAATTCCGACCAAGCGAGATTACGACTCTTCTCGGGATTTAAGACCAAACTTAAATTCGGAGGAATAGGGGGGAAAGGGGTTTCAGATCTCTCGAACTCTTTTTTTTATCGAGAAACTTCGCCAAGATCTGCTAACCCTCTGAAATTCGTGGCTCCACTCTCAATTTTGACAGCACCTCGCCCTCTTCATGTCCCGATCAGATGAAATGAGCCCCGAGCTTGTATTTATAGGCTTCAGTTAGGGTGTTTTTGGATAAGAACGATAGATTCCTCCTTATCTTCAGTTAACAATTGTATAACTACATTCAGAGATAACATTGAGGTAGTTAGGAACCTCTGGAACATAATAAAATCTCTTGAAAACCCATCGAAACCGCCAAAACGCGTTTCCAGATCAAACCAGCCAAAACCGCCACTGGCCCTGGCCGAGTCTATTTTGGTATGACTCGGTCGCCAGCGGCTATTCTGGTTTTCCGGTTTTCTTGTATTATTGCGTTGTTTACGCGTATTTTGTCGTTTCGCTGACTGATATGCTTCCTCCATTCGCTTCGTGTGTTTCGTGAACGTACGGATCGCTTGACGGTGGCCGACGGGTGTGCAGGCCACTTGGTTTGCCGTTCCGGTGGCCGATGAGTACACGGGCCACTTGGAACTGGCTGGGGGGGGGGGGGG